GCCTGCTGCACGCCTGGTGGCCACAACTTTCTCCTGCCGGCCCCTGGCAACTCTCCTTGCCTGGGTTCAGCCTGGTTCTAGAACTGGGGGTGGAGCCTGAGGTGGGGCGGCAGGGTGGGGCTGGGTCCCAGCCTCAGGCCTCAAAGAGGAGCCCTGGGGGCTTGAATCCCAAGGAGGGTAGGGGAGGAGGAGAGGGATCCTCCCCAGCTGCAGGGCTGCCTCACCTCGCTCTGGGCGGTGGTAGTGGGTCTAGCAGCCCCGTCTGCCGAGTGTGGACACGCAGAGGGTCAGGTGTGGCCTGGGCCCAGCACAGGTGGCTGTCCGGGAGGGTGGGCGCTCCTCTGCCGCCCACACCTGTATCCGGACTGGCAGGCTCCCAGCCAGGGGAGTGCACCTGAACCCCGGCAGGGAGGGGGGGGGTCCCCTGTCAGTGCTCCTCCTGGAGCCCAGGGTCCTGGGAGGGAGGCACCCCCAGCGTTCCCATGGGTGAGCCTTGGGGCAGGGTCATGGAGGAGCAAGCCCCAGCAGTGCCCAGCCCGCCCCGGAGGGCATTCACCTGTGCACTGACCCCAGGCTGGGTTCTCGTGGGGCCAGCAGGTGAGGGGTGGTCCGGGGCCCGAGGGGAGCCCGCAGGCAGAGTGGCCAGGACCCTGAGCGTGCGGCCCTGTCATACATTCCGGGGCGGTTGCGAAGATTCTTCTGTGAGAAGTGAGACCTGTCCCCCACCCCTCTCCACCCTGGGGGGCTCTGAACTTCCCGTTCTTTGTATGGTCCGGGCCAGCTGTGCCCCTCGCCCCCCAACCGCCTGCCTGGCGGAGGAGTCACACAGGACACCCCGCCGTTCTCCGAGCCTGTTCCCCCAGTGTGCGAATGGAGGCAGGGGCTTCCGGGCACACCGGTCCCCAGGCTGAGGGGGCCGGAGGGGACTGGGGCAGGCACAGGTCCCCACACGGCTCTGTCTTTGCTGACCGGCTCCAGAGGCCAAGTGGCCACACCTGAGCCCTGGGATAAGGCCCGGCGGCGGGGTTTGAACCCTGGTTTGCAACTCCTCCTGAGCGGCTGGGCCTGCCACAGTGGGGGCTAGGCGGGGGATGGCGTGGGACGACAGCCTGTCCTGAACGGCCATGTCCACCAGCCCCGCCATGGGGAGGGTGTCCGAGGCCTCTGCCCGCACCGTCCCCTCCCCGCTCATCTGCGGGGCCGCCTCCCCCAGGTGCGCAGCGCGGGCTCGGGGCGGGGCTCGGCCTGGGGGCTGAGGGCACCGGCTCCCCCACCGCCTCGCTGAGCAGGCCCTGCATCCCGGTGGGCGCACTGCTGTGTCCAGGCCTCGCTCGGTCCTCAGCCCTGCGGGCCTGGAGCTCTCGGCGGCTGGAGACAGATGCCAGCCAGGGTCCTGGGGACCTGTCCACACTGCGGGCCCCAGTCAGGCGTTCCTTGTTCGCGTAGACGCCTCCTGCCTCCTGCCGGTCTGTTTGCCAGCTTCAGGCCACCCGGCCAGGATGGCTGCGTGGGCACACACTGCGGGTGGGGCTGGTGTGCTGGGCTGTCCTAGCTGTAGGGACGCCACCCTCCGCCACTGGCCTGGGGACATGTCCTTGCTCCTGGGCACTGTGGCCTCTGCCCCACCTGGCCCTGAGGCCACCTGCAGCCAGGACCCCAATGGGCAATGCTGAGGGGTTACCAGCCCCGGTCAGCAGCTTCTGGGTGCTCTGCCCAGTCCCCAGGCAGCCGGCTTGCCCGGGCCCGGGAATCTGCATTTGGCCTGGCTGGGCCTCCCCATCTGGGGCTCAGCCTCCTGCTACCACCCGCTCTGGTCCCACTCTGCATCCCTGCCAGGGTGTGGCCGGGTCACCCCTGGGGCGCAGGTGCCCGGGCTCCCCGGGGCGCCAGGCAGGTGGGGCAGCTGCCCGTGGCCTGTGCCCAGCCGGCTCCGCTGGCCTCGCCCTTGGTGGCCTGTCTCGACCCCCACCCAGTGCCACGAGCCCCATCACCTCATCCCTCCTGGCCACCGCCCCTGTCCCCGCAGTCCTGGCTTCTTCCGGGAACCCGCCCCCAACCTGCTCCGAGACCGGGATGGCCGGCCTGCGTGCTGAGGGCCCCCCGAGCCTCGCGTTCCCGTCCTCAACACGGATCTGCTAAGAGCGGAGCTTGGGCTGCCACCAGGTGCCCTCCTGCCAGCTGCCCTCGAACCCGCAGGGCCCTGCCAGGCCGCGGCCAGCCCCGGCCCGCTGAGTCCCTCCAGCCCTGAGACTGGGTCTCTTTCTGCCCCTCAGGGCATGTGCGCTCACTGCAGAGACCGGAGGGGAGAGGCCACCCCCGGGGTGGCCACACCGCAGTCCCTTCCCTCCCAGTCTCCTCTCGGGATTTGGGGCACACAGGCCTGGTGTGATTTTCCTTTTTGTTTTGTTTTTGTTTTTGAGAGATTTTTTTTCGCTATAAGGCACTTTCGCTCACTGGAGAGACAGACAGACAGACAGACAGAAAGTGAGAGGTATGGCCACAGCGCGATCCCTACTCCTCCATTCTCTCGGGATCCTGAGCATGCACATGCGCCCTGCGTGAGGTTTAAGCCCCGCGTCCAGGACTCAAACCGTGGTCGACAGCGTGAGTCCAGTGACAGCCATTCCGCCATCTGCTGCTCCCAGGCCTGGTGTGACTTTCAAGGTACCAGGTCCAGCATTCATACTGTGATCAGCCGAGTGGGAGTGCAGCACCTAACCTCCACGCCACCTGCTGGTCCCTCTGCCCCCCTCCCCTTTTGTTAAAAAATAGTTTTATTTAACTTTATTTATTTTGATTGGACTGGAGAGAGCGCGCGCGCGCGCCTCCAGGTCTGGGACTCGAACTGCAGTCGGCAATGTGGGAGTCTAGTGCCCTTAACCACCATGCCCCCTACCGACCCCACTCCCCTCCTTTTGAAAAAGAATCATTTTGGGACCAGCAGTTGGCGTAATGGCTATGTCACTGGACTCCCATGTAGCCGACCACGGTTCGCGTCCTGGACCCGGTGGCTTAAACTCACACTGGGCACGTGTGTGTGCATGCCCAAGATCCCGAGAGGAGAATGGAGAAGGGATTGCGGCGTGGCCATGCCCCCTGGGGAGTGATTTCTCGCTTTCTGTCTCTCTGTCTCTCTCTGGTGAGTGCACATGCCCTATAGCAAACACCTCTCAAAAAAAAAAAAGGAATTATTTTAACTTTAGTTAGTTGTTTTAATTTTGACATGTCCTCAGGCTCTCCCTGGCCTGGGGTCTTCTGGGCTCAGGACCTCCAGGGCTGGGGTGGCAGGTTCGGCAGGTTCCGCACGGGAGGGCTCGCTGTCCAGGCCCAGGGCCGTCGAGGTGTTTGGGCAGCGGAGACCCCTCCCAGGCCGCACCCCCAGCCCAGCCAGTGCCCCAGGGCCGACCAAGACCTCTGGAGGAGCCCTCGGCTCCCACCCCTGGGCAGGGCAGGGGTTCCGGGGCCTGTGTCCCCTCCAGGGGAGGGCAGTGCTGGTGGGCTGGGAGCAGCGTCTTTGCACAGTCCTGGGGCCCCGAAGTTGGAGGTTGGGGTGCAGCAGGCCACACCCTCTGAGTGTGGGGGCGGGTCCTGCCTGTCCCTGCTCCTGGCAGGGACAGAGCCCTGTGGGTCACTTCCTCCTGTCTGTGCCGGCATTGGGGTCAGGGGCCACACTTGTCCAGTGTGACCTCATTTTACCCCGGCATCTGCAAAGACCCTGTTCCAAACTAGCCACTGTCCCAGTCGTCTCCGCCCCGGTCCTTCCCGAGCTCTGGGGGGGCCCCCTGCCGAGAGCCGCGGCTGGTCCCCAGGTCGCCAAGGGGCAGGAAGTGGCCGCGGAGCTGGCTGGAGCATTGAGGACACCAGGGCAGAGCCGCCCTGCCTTGCTATTTCCCCGAGGCCCCGCCTTGTAGTACTGTCACAGGATGTTAGGGTCCCCTCGGAGTTCCCAGGGGAAAGTCAGGCAGCAGCGCCCTTCGGTGGTGGGGACAGGCTTCGGCCTAGGCCAGCTCCTCCCCGGTACCCTCCAGGAGGGGAAGCGGGCAGGGCAGCCCCTGGGCTGGGTGGGGGGCGGCAGGGGAGCTCGCCCTGACCTCCTGTCCCGCCCGCAGGGTGCAAGATCAAAGCCTTGCGCGCCAAGACCAACACCTACATCAAGACGCCGGTGCGCGGCGAGGAGCCGGTGTTCATCGTGACGGGCCGCAAGGAGGACGTGGAGATGGCCAAGCGCGAGATCCTGTCGGCCGCCGAGCACTTCTCCATGATCCGGGCCACGCGCGGCAAGGCGGGTGGGCTGCCCGGCGCCGCCCCGGGCCCGCCCAACCTGCCGGGACAGACCACCATCCAGGTGCGCGTGCCCTACCGCGTGGTGGGGCTGGTGGTGGGGCCCAAGGGGGCGACCATCAAGCGCATCCAGCAGCGGACGCACACGTACATCGTGACGCCCGGGCGCGACAAGGAGCCGGTGTTCGCCGTGACGGGCATGCCCGAGAACGTGGACCGCGCGCGCGAGGAGATCGAGGCGCACATAACGCTGCGCACGGGCGCCTTCACCGACGCGGGCCCCGACAGCGACTTCCACGCCAACGGC